TCAAACATCTCCCCAGACAATGAGCAGAGTGACACCATGACCACCGCCATCACCAGACACACACACACACACACACACACAAACACACACACACAGAAGAGTTACTCTCTGTTCCATAGGACAAGTGTCTTTACCATGTCCAATTAGGGACTCCTACAATATGACCGGATCCATTTTTGGCCACATGTATATACCCAGAAAGGTTAGGTCCCTCTCCAAATAGCCAATATCCCTGCCTCTAGAAAAAGCCACATGTCCATAAGAGATCTCTGCTAAGAGTCAAGAAGATTTCATTTCCACGAACCTGAGCAGTACTGGGGGTTAATGCAGACTCTGGAGCAGTCTGTCTGGGTGGAACCCCACTTCTGCCTTAGTAGCTTTAGAACATTGGGGGAAGTTACTTAACCTCTCTGTTCCTTGGTTTTCCCACCTATAAAATGGGGATTAAAAATAGTGTCTACTCATAAGACTGTATAATGACCAAATGTGTTATGACATGTAAAGCATGTAAAACAGTCCTTCTGACATATAGTAAGAACAAATTAACATTTGATGTTACTATTACTATGTGTATTATTATCATTGTTATACCCTTGAGTATGTTACACAGCAGACCTCTGTTTTCCAGACTTCTCTCAAACGGGCTGACAACACCATCCCTACTCCAGGATAGTTTAAGTCAAAATATAAAATTTCAGATTGCTTTCCTATCAAAGATAAGAATCTGTGATAACTGTTACATGGCCATGAATTCTTTGCAGCTATTACATTAAGAAGTGAAGTCTAGGGGCACCTGGGTGGCTCAGTCCGTTAAGCATCCGACTTTGGCTCAGGTCATGATCTCAGGGTTCATGGGTTCAAGCCCCGCATCGGGCTCTGTGCTGACAGCTAGCTCAGAGCCTGGAGGCTGTTTCAGATTCTGTATCTCCCCTCTCTCTCTCTGACCCTCCTGCTCATGCTGTCTCTCTCTCAGAAGTAAATAAAAGTATTTTTAAAAAAGTGAAGTCTATTTTCAACTTCCTCAGAAGCACCAGCTGGGTACGGTGGCATGAGGGATCCAAGGTAACACTAGTCAGAGACTAGCCCAAATTGTTGACCCATAGTGTCATGAGCAAATAAAATGGTTGTTGTTTTAAGCCATTAAGTTTCTGGTGGTTTTTTATTATGCAACAGATAACTGATACAGAGCCCCAAACAAATGAGGCTTTATTATCGATAGCATTTCAAACACTAACATTCACATGAAGCCAGGCCACTTGTCTGTCAGCAGGTAAACCAACCACCACATGGGGCTTCCAAGCTCTCATTTTCCAAGCACTTACCCAGGGCCAGTAGGGTCACCCCGGTCAGCACATTAACTTAGGAAAAGCTAAGACCAATTCATGATCAGACCTGGAGAGAGAGAGGCAAGCTTTCTGTGCCAAGGAAGGGGCCAAATTAGGCCTTTGCAGGGGTGAGGTGAGTGGTATAGAAACATAAGATTTTGTTCCCTTTAATCCACTATACAATTCAGGGCCCAAAATGGCAAGATATGGCTTCCTTGGAAGTAATTTTATACCACAGGTCTTAGATATTGCACGATGAAGTGGGTAAATGCCTTCAAGACACAAGCAAACCAATTCAAGGTCAGCATCACCAAGTGAGAATGCGGGGCGCGGGGTGGGGGGGTCATTCAGAATCAACCATGCAATCCCCATGGTCCAGATACATGGCTCCAAGAATGTAGGTAGCCCAGAACATCTTCATCTTTTCTGCTGGTCACAGCAAGAGAACGATTACATTCCAAGCTTTGATTTTACTGTGACCTAAGCAAAAAAGCCTATCTCACCCCACAATACCAAGGGGTGGGTGGGGGGGAGCCAAGTTCCATAGATCAATGTTCTGTCATCTGTAACATGTGGGAAGAACTGATAATCAACTTTGTAGGAGAATCACTCTGAAATACATCAGGAGAGACTTAGGCAGTTTAAGTTCCAGTCTGTTATGAGCAAGGCCACTGCATCTAAATGAAAGCAATCTTATTAATCTGGTAAGTTGGATGACCCATGCCGCTCAAGTTTCTCAGGTGAAGACCAGTAGCATTTATCTGTCCATGTATTTGTTTACTCGTCCCATATTTGTTGAGCACATACTTTGTACCATACAGTTCTGTGGGCGCCCGGGCATGAGAAAGTTGAGGCAGGAGGAAAGCAGAGGAGTGAAGATAGCAAGGATTCTATAAAAGTAGCTAAGACACTCCATATCCCAAGAGCTTAAATGGCTGGTTATCTTGAAAAACAAAATTTCCTGCTTGAAGCAATTCAAAGTAACCCAGCCGAGCCAGGTCCAAATTGCTGCACCGATTGGAACTGATCATGTTATAAGTCCAGGGAGTTCAGAAAACTCCTGATTTCATGGAATCAAAGAGCTGTATGGATGTAACTGGTCTGCAGATGAAGATACTAAAGTGAAGTAATCTACCCTAAAACTCACCACTAGTTTCAATGCATAGCCAAATCCGGGTCTCCTGGTCTCAGTCTGATAGGACTTCCACCAACCTCATAGAGATCCGTCTCAAGATACAAAGTGTTTACAGTGTGAGGGCACAGAGATATCCCACAAATCAAACCCATCTTGCAGTAGCCAGATGCCAGCTATCCGATATAGTGAGCAGAAACTCTGCACTTGTCACATGGGAGGAACCCAAGGATACAACTTCTTGTGGAATAAACTGAAGAGCCTCTATCCACGCACTCAAATGCTCAGCAGCAATGAAAACAGGCTTCTGAGACAATAGCACAAGAAAATACTTATTAGATTTAAATTTCAAAGCTTAAATATGTAGTAACTGTGAATAGACTATACACAAAGGTATAAACAGCAGCAAAACACCCTAACATATTCATGACTGTAATGCTGGCATCTTTTAAAACTGGATGAATTCTTCATTTTTCCTGCTGTTTCCCTACAGACCAAATATTCTTTAATGTTCTTTTCTTAAATGTTTATTCACTTTTTGAGAGAGAGAGAAAAGGAGGAAAGAAAAGGAGCAGGGGAGAGGCAGAGAAAGAGACAGAGAGGATCTGAAGTGGGCGCTGCACTGATAGCAGAGAGCCTGATGTGGGGCTTAAACTCACAAACCATGACATTATGATCTGAGCCAAAGTTGGATGCTCAATTGACTGAGCCACCCAGGTGCCCCTGACATTCTTGAACTACTTTATATATTTTTTAATGTCTTGGCCAACTCACTGAGAAGAGATACATTGTCAATGATAGGTTGTGGTCAGCAGGCAAAGGGTATGTGAGCAGGGGCAAGTGTGAAAGTCAGGTGGAGGGCCAGCCCTGAAATATCTGCAGGTGGGTCAAAGCCTCAATGTGCTTGGATCCTGTTCTGTGCTGTCCAGTCAGTTATATTCCTGATCTGCCACTTCTGGCTTGGCTGTCTAACTTTCGGCAACTCACCTACTTTATTTAAACCTCCATTTTCTTAACTGCAAAAGGTGGATATCAACAGAACCTTCATCATAGGAATGCCGTGCATCTTGAGAAAGAAAAGAAAATGCTTAGTCTAATGCCTGGCAGCAAGTAGGAGCCAGCAAGTGTTAGTTGTCATGATGATGGTGATAGAGACGTTAATAGAGTTTTTATTTTTATGGCCATTATTATTATTATCAGTTTATGATGTTCCTAACACTGTTTAACACTGTAACTAAAAAGGCATTAGGTTTCCTTGCTTTGGAAGATAGCCCAAAGCTCTCCATAGATCTCCCTGCTGGACTGTCCCTTCTCTGATCTCCATACTCTTTGGGTTTATTACTAATAGACTCTTAAGTTGAAGTAACAGCTTGCACACCACCTAGTATGCCCTGGGGGAACAATGATAACATACAGATTCCTACTTGTTTTCTTGCGTCTAATTAGGATAGTACAATGTCATCCTTTCTAAAAAGGCAAGGAATAAACCATCTTAGTAGATATTCTACAGAATTCTGCTTTGTACTTGAAACATGTAATTATCGTTAACAAACATAGGCACTAATAATTCCATCTGCTCTTTAGACAAGAAAGAGGAAGATTTCTGGCCCCATCCACTCTCAGTCTCAGGCAACTTCCTTTGCAAGTTGCCTCCCTCATACATCAGATGCAAGGTGGGAGGTCTGTTTACAAGGCAGAAGTTTTCTGGGATGGGAGCTAAGTGCCCACACCAAGAAGAAGACTCCTCAGTAGACCAGGTTCAGGTCCCTGAAGCCTCAAAAAGACATTCTGTGGCCTTCACAGCCTGACATCAGAAAACTCGATCTCAGATTCAGGTTTTGTTGTGTTTTTCTTTCCCCCCAATGAGAAAAGAGAGGCCTAACAACTGAACCTGGTCGACCTGTATATTAAGCACCATACCCAAAACCAGAAGGGCAAAATTAATGAAATAAATAAAAAGAAGTCGTTAAATATGTTAAACATGCCCAAATATATGCTCTTGCCTCTTCTTTGTTGGGGTAACACCTTCATCCTCTTTTGCATCAGGAAGTATTTTCTAACCCTTAACATTTAAATGTTCTGTAATTACAAATGCTCAGTAATTATGCACATAGTTAACTAAGTAGAGTTAGCAATGTATTTCACTTGATCTAGATATTTCTGAGCATCACTCCCTATCCTCCACATATTCCTGCCCCCATCACTGTGATAGTAACTCTAGAAGATGCTCCTGTAATTGACCAAATTAGGGTATTATGTGGGAAACAGAGAAGTCTTTCATCCACTAATCATTTCCTGCACATGGGGACTCCCTCCTTGGGTTCACCAGAAATATGACTTAAGCCAAAACCTGCCTTCCAAATCCCAGGCCCACAGTGAACATCACATGGGTAGGATGGGCTAAAAAATGTGGCACATCACCCAGGAGACAGGCAAAAGAGAGAGTCCCAAGATGTTCCAGAGCCCACATGGATCCCTGATCATCTAACCCCAAGCTCCCAAAGGAAAAGCCAACGATTGTCTACAATCGCTTCCATTCTTACCTCAGAGAGAACACGGCTGTCAGGCTCCTCTCTCCAACGGTGAAGAGGTCTGTGCCCAAACAAAGTAACCAGCCTACCAAAGATAACAAGATAAGGTAAGAACTACTGCTGGCAAGAAGTTACATTCCTCCACATCTGGAGTGTTTTCTAACAAAAAGCAGGTCTCTGTATGTTTGAAGACCTTTCAAGACTACAACAGCAGCAACATAATCAATTGAACAATATCAAGTGCGTGAAATCTCTGGAATCAAGTCAGGCGGGACTGTTGAAGTTACAGAGAGTGAGCTAACGTTTTATTAACACACACCTGGGGCCTAATTGGGAATGGCAATAATTGGTGAAATCATACACCTCATCACGTCCCTCCACAAAAATGGCTGTCTACCAAGGAGCTGGCAGAACTTTGTGTAACACTTACATATATCAGGGTGTGTTGGCAGGTCAGAGCACTCACACACTCAACATGTCCACACACAATGGAGACTCTATTAGCATGGAACTAACTCTGCTTTGGAAGATGGCCCTACTGGCTGATGAAATAATGACAACATGAGACTTGAACCCTAATGAGGGGGTGGGAGGGAAATGCAAACTTCTTCTACAAGCACTCAAATCGGCAAATGTAAAAGACAACAATCATGCCTGATTTAAGGAAATCCTACCATATGTTTATATCCTTCATCTGTGATGCTAATTTCATGTGTCTAATCAACTTGACTGGGGTATGGTACCCAGTTGTTTGGTCAAACACAAGTCTAGATATTGTTGTAGATATAATTTTTAGATGTGATTAACAGTAACATCGGTAGACTCTAAGTAAAACAGATTATCCCTCGTGGTGTGGGTGACCCTCATCTAACCAGTTGAGGCCTTAAGAGGAAAGACTGAGGTTCCTTTAGGAAGAGGGAATTATGCCTCTATGCAGCCTTTGGACTTGAGATTAGGACTTGAAATCTTCCCTGTGTCTCCAGCCTGCTGGCCTGCCCTGCAAACTTTGGACTTGCCAACCTCCATAATCACAGGAGTCAATTCTTTAAAATCAGTCTATCTATTGATCAATTTCTAGACAAACACACACACGTGCACACTTTATTGTTCACGTTTCTCTGCAGAACTCTAATATACCATCTAATGTCAAGAAAAAAATGCATTAACTTATAAAATATGTATAACAATGCGAGAAGGACAACACAGAAAAGAGGCTAGAGCATGAAGGAAATTAGTCCTTCATGTATTTTATAATGTATCATGTATTTTATAAGGTATGAAACTATTACTTGATGTGGTTGATAAATTAGGTTCTGAGCATCCTAGTGGCCAATGCAATGAAGAAAGAGGACACAAGATAATCATGTGGGCTTTAAAGGGCACAAGATAAAATACAATGTAAACACTTCAAAACTGTTAGCCTTTTGTTGTTGTTGTTATTAAGAAATTTCTTCCAAGCTGGGTGCCTAGGTGGCTCAGTCAGTTAAGCATCTGACTCTTGGTTTTGGCTCAGGTCATGATCTCATGGTCTGTGAGTTGAGTTACATGTTGGGCTCTACACTGACAGCACGAGCCTACTTGAGATTCTCTGTCTCCCTCTCTTTGGATTCTCTGCCCTCTCACCCTCTCAAAACACACACTTAAAAAAAAGAGAAAGAAAAAATTTCTTCCAAAGTGTTAACCTTCCCCTCCTTGGGTAAATTTTTCAAGTATCCTTTAACATCCACACTGAAGGATTAGGAAGGAAAGTACTTAGAAGTGCCTCTCAGTATACATAGTAGGGAGCCTCCTATAAAGCCTCTTCCTGCATCCCTCATGAGATACGATGGCAAAGCACAATTCACTTTAGTGATTTAGCAAGTCCAAAAAGAAGCGCAAACACACAGCAATCTGATCATCTGGCTTGACCCAGGGATAAAAATGAGAATTTCTGGGGCGCCTGAGTGGCTTAGTCGGTTAAGCGTCTGACTTTCGCCTAGGTCATGATCTCGCGGTTCGTGGGTTCGAGCCCCGCGTCGGGCTCTGTGCTGACTGCCAGCTCAGAGCCTGGAGCCTGTTTCAGTCTGTGACTCCCTCTCTCTCTGACCCTCCCCTGCTCACGCTGTCTCTCTCTCTCCTGGAAATAAATAAAACATTAAAAAAAAAATTAAAAAAAAAATGAGAATTTCTGGAAGAACTAATGAACCCCATATCCTTTGAGATATTTCCCAGAAATATTATTTCTCCCAGGGCAAAGCTGGGTGGAAAATGGGCTACACTGCCTGAGGCTGTGTTCCTGCCAACTGCCTAGAGTCAAGGTTTTCCCTATTGCTGATGGGGGCAGAGCCACAGAAAAACTGCCTTTGAGGGGTTTATAAATTCAGGCAATAAATGTCTGAAAAGAGATGGTTTAACTTTTATATGTTTGAATTTGTAGAAGTCTTACATACCTCCTGCACTGGAATCAATTTTTAACTTTCTTTATTGTGGTAAAATATACATAATAAGATATTTACTATTTTAACTATTTTTTTAAGTTTATTTCTGAGAGAGAGAGAATCCCAAGAAGGCTCTGCGCTGTCCACACAGAGCCCATGTGGGGCTAGAACCCACAAACCGTGAAATCATGACCTGAGCCAAAATCGGGAGGCAGACACTTAACTGAGCCACCCAGCTTCCCTACTGTAACTATTTTTAGTGTACAACTATGTGGCCCTAAGTATATTTCCAATGTTGTGCAATCATCACCACCATCCATTTCCAGAACTTTTTCATTATCCCGGACTCTCACTTAACAATGAGACCCCACTGCCCCTCCTACAGTGCCTGGTGATCCTGATTCTACTTTCTGTCTCTAGAAGGTTGCCTGTTTGGTACCTCACATGAGGGAGCAACGTAACATTTGCCCACTTGAGTATTTCACTTAGCATAATGTTTTCAAGGCCCATCCCATGTCGTACCATGTACCAGAATTCCATTTTTTACGGCTGACTATATTCCATTGCTAGTATATACCACATTTTGTTTACCCTGGAATGAGTTTTTAATGTAATTAATTCAACAATTATTGAATATTTACAATGTCAGAAGTTTGATTTCTTAAAATTTTTTTCTTTAATGTTTTTATTTATTTCTGAGAGAGAGAGAAAGATGAGAGAGACAGTGTGAGCAGGGGAGGGTCAAAGACAGGGAGATACAGAGTCTGAAGCAGGCTCCAGGCTCTGAGCTAGCTGTCAGTACAGAGCCCGACGTGGGGCTCGAACCCACAAACCGTGAGACTATGACCTGAGGCGAAGTCGGACGCTTAACCGACTGAGCCACCCAGGCACCCCAAGAAGTTTGATTTTTTTAAACATTAACTTTGTTCTAAGAACAGTATACGAGAGTTAGAAGTGCTATCCCACAAGGAACCAATTAATCATATGAATCCTAGTTTCAGAACCAGTAACAGCAGCAAGAAAACAAGAGTCTAAGTAGTTTTTCTTCCCTAAGGATTAGGTAAATCTTCCCCACAATCTTAATTAATGCTCTTCATGCTTAAAGCTGAAGTGAGATCAGAATATCCCCACCATGCGGCCAGCGGGCTCTGTAATACTTCATATCATGGTGCCTACAGCTTATACGGTGTCGTTCCTGACTCCTGACCTAGTGATAATGAGCTTCTAGCTAAACAGCTGATATCAAGAAGTCAGAAACTTCCATCCCTGCAGATAAAATACTCTGACAGAACCAACGAGAAAAGCACGTCTTCCTATACCTGGCTAGCCATCCATCAGATTTGTATTTCTAGGCATATACATAAGGGAACAAGTCTTCTGTGTGGAATCATGGGTGTTTCCACAGCACCTCCCCACCAAGACAACTTACTAGTTGGAAGAGAAAGTGGGAACCTGCACTTCCCTCCGGTTTTCACCTTTAGAGTGTATAAAAGAGCAGATGGCGCCAAGGAGGGGGGAGGATACCACCACACACCTGAATTCACAATAGCGGCCCCGTGTGAGTCATCAAAAGATGTCTGCGGGAAGCTGATGAAAAACAACCATTTCTGCACGCTGACACGGGAATTGCAGGCAAAAATCAAGAACCATAGAGGATTTAGGCCACTTTGTTCAGCATAAACTTCTCAGCTGGGAGATCTGCTGTCATCCCAGATTTTTAACAATTGGCTGAGCTGAAGTTCATTACTACTTTTGTGTTCAGTTCACGGGGAGTAGGTCATTCGAATAACAAAAGTGGTTTTACAAAAATATAGAGAGTTTAGTCTGGAGATCCTCCTGTATGGTTTTTTTTTTTTTTTTTAATGTTTTATTTATTTTGAGGGGCAGCTGGGTGGCTCAGTCGATTAAGTGACCAACTTTGCACTCTCAAAAATGAATAGACATTTAAAAAATTTAAATACTTATTTTGAGAGCATGCAAGTGAGGGAGGGACAGAGAGAGAGGGACAGAGGATCTGAAGCAGGATCTGCACTGATAGCAGCGAGCCCAGTGTGGGGCTCAAACTCATGAAATGCGAGATCATGACCTGAGCTGAAGTCAGACACTGAGCCAACTGAGCCACCCAGCTGCCCCCCTCCTGTATGTTAAGACTAACTTCAAAATCAAGAGTTTTTTGTAGATAAAAACAAAATGAATGCTATTAAGACTGTTCCTTCTGGTATGTAGGTAAAGAGTCCATTGCCTCTGAAACAAGAGAGATTTCCATGGGTTGTAGAAGCCAGCCCTGAACAGGCTGAAAGTAGGGTGCTAATACAAAGATTCTCAAACTAGTCTAATCAAGAAATCCCAGCATGAGAAGGCACTCAGTTCTCTGTCACAAGTAATTTCTCTACCCTTTTTCCAAGGGCATCAATGACTCACACTCTGGAAGTGGATGAGGGACACAACTTGAGCATGAAAATTTCATCTGTGATAATCATTCGGATCCTCCAACTTTTGTTAAGTTCATTCAAACCTTTCTCATACATAAACACACACTTACCCTGAAAAATATCATCCTGTGTCCTGCCTCCATTTTCAAAAATAAGAACCCAATAAGGCAATTCGGGTTCATCAGAAGATATAAAATTAAACTTGAACCTGTTAGGGGCACCTGCATGGCTCAATT